AGATTTCTGTCGACTCTGGGCTGTCTTGAGTCTCTGCCGGATCAACTCGACCTGCTCTGCTGTCTCCTCGATCATCTTAGGACCGAGTACTCGTCGCTCTCCAACGTCGTCTCAATAGAGAGGGGAACGACACTTACGACCGTAAAGTGCTTCGTAAGGAGTCATCTGAATGGAGGAATGATAACTGTTGTTATATGCGCACTTGGCGTACGACAACAGCGACTCCCACTTGGCACCCCTGTCAATAATCAAGGCGCGAAGCATATCCTCGAGTGTCTGAATCGTCTGCTCTGACTGACCGTCTGTCTCCGGATGGTAGGCTGAACTGAACTCAAGCTTGGTGCCCATCGCCTCATGTAAGCTGTGCCAGAATCGGCTAACGAATTTGGGATCTGTGTCTGATACAGTCGTGACGGGCACTCCGTGGAGTCTGATGATCCCACGGGTATATATCTCAGCCACTTGTCCAGAGACATCCTCATCGAAACGGGTAAAAAGTGCGCCACCTTCGTCAGCCTGTCAACCACGACCCAGATGGCGTCGTGATGTTCAGTCGACCTCGGCAATCCCGTAACGAAATCCATAGTAACTTCCTCCCACTTCCACCTCGGAATCGGCAGTGGCTGTAGGAGGCCAATCGGACTCTGATGCTCGGCCTTGACTTGCTGACAGGTCAGACATCGCCTAACGAACTCTGCGACGTCCTTCTTCATGCCTCTCCACCAAAACGACCCCTTCAGGTCGTGGTACGTCTTCGTGCTCCCTGGATGGGCCAAGTAAGGTGCGGTATGTGCCTTAGATAGAATCTCCTTCCGCAGTGCCTCGGCCTTCGGGACCACGATCCTGCCTCTGAACTCCAAGGCACCATCGGTGCCTAACTGAAAATCCTGTACTCCTCCGGCGCGAACCTTGGCCTCCATGACACGCACAAACTCGTCAGAAGCCTGTTCTCGCCGGATCCTCTCCCTCAGTGTCGGCTGAAGCTGCATAGCACTGACACTGGCACTAATGCTCCCCGAGACAGCTATGGGGAGTGCATCAATTGCCTGAAGCTGCATCCGGGAAAACTCATGGATCAATGGACTCTGCTGCGAAATGACGTACGTCAAGTCTCCCGTCACCTTTCGGCTTAGGGCATCTGCGACGACGTTCGCCTTTCCCGGATGGTACTGGGTAGAACAATCGTAATTCTTGACCAATTCGAGCCAACGGCGTTGCCTCATATTAAGCTCCTTCTGCGTGAAGATGTACTGTAGGCTCTTATGGTCTGTGAATATCTCGCAGCGTCCGCCGTAAAGATAATGACGCCAGATCTTCAGGGCGTGAACGACTGCGACTAACTCTAAGTCGTGCGTAGGATAGTTCTTCTCATGAGGCTTAAGCTGACGTGAAGCATACGCAACGACCCGTCCGTCCTGCATCAGGACACATCCCAAGCCCTATCTCGAAGCATTGCTGAAGATAGTGAAACTCCGAGAAGGATCGGGAATAATCAACGCTGGTGTTCAAGATAACCTCTTCAAGAGTTACTCGGAACAGTAAAACTGGAATGTACAAGCTTAACTTAAAGCTTATACTTTCTGATTGCATGACTTAAGAATCCAGTAATTTAATACTGAATAAAAGACTTGATTTGAGCTGAAAATACATCAATTCACAATTAAGTGAATTGTAGAATGCTGCTGACTGAAAATGGACACTTTCTAAAAGAAAGTGTTCTACTGATAAGACATGGTTTCACAACGAAACTCTGAAATATGTTGGTCGTCCTCTTCTGGCTGCTGACGGATCTCCGATCGGAATGCTGGTGGTGAAGACTCTCTCCGCAATCTCTCCGTGTACTGAGACTCAAACATGGCATCCTTCAATGGAAAACGTCGGTTTATCATCATGGCACGATCCGTTGTTGTCGATTGGCTTTTCTCCATCGCGGCGAATGTCAACCTGTGGTACCTGCAACTTTTTACTCCCTCCGAGGTTACACTTAACCTCAAGAAGAAGTCCCTTATGACTTAATATCTCCCACGATTTCTCAGATTCTTCAGAATTTGAGAATCGAGGCGCTGACATACTGAAAATGGTAGATAAGTCTTGTCTTACCAGACAGACTATCCTTGATCTTGTCATGACTGACCTGAATACTCTCATGGCTGAAAAACCATGACTTGACTTTCACATGGCTGACTTATCTGATCCGAACTCTAAAAGCTATCCCGAGGCAACTTAAATAGTCGCTTCGAGATCGAAAACATGATATTTACTGACTTATTTGACTTGATAAGGTACGACTTCAAGTTTCCAGGTAAATCTGGACTAATGGTCTGTGTATCAGACCGTTACCTTTTACCCGGCTGAACAACTATTATACGTCGACCTTATATCTTGTACATAAACTGTATATCGTGAACTGAACCCTGTACTGTATAGGGCTGCTCAAGTATCAACTGGTCCCGCAAGTACAAAGTAATTAGCTGATCTTGACTTCTGAAAGTCATAACTTAAAATAGCATGACTGATAAAATATCTGACATGACTGGCTTGAAAGGTTGTTATTACCTGAAATCTTACTGATTCGGCCCCAGCTTCAAGCCTCCATGGTATACCCGGCTGAGTGGCTCTTATTTCAAGCCTCCATGGTAACCCGGACTATTGACTCTTATACACTGGAAACCGTTACCTTAACAATGACTTGAGAATTATAATAACCTTTAACATGAAAATTCTTGCCTTGAACATGACTTACTGATCTGATTTAGGAACTTTGAGTCTATTCATCGAATTAAATCAAGGAATTTTCTACCTGAGGTCTGCCAATTTATTGACAAAATGGCAGTTCTGGATAAAATTTCTGAGAAACATGATTCTTAAGATTTGTTTAGCACAATGCTTACAAATCTTCTGACAAGTTACTAACTTGACTTGAATAAGTCTAGAACTGAATCTAGAGTTCTTAAACTCAATCCTTTTCTACGGTTCTGAATTCACTTGCCCCTGATACGGGGATTTCTTCGGCCGAAGAATTTCTCAACATGATAGTCGCGGAACTGTGCGACTACTGTGGCTTGAATAAAAACTGAGTGATCGGGTTCCCTACGGGGCGATATCTGAACATCGAGAAAAGTTTAACATTACTGAATATGCGATAGCATTACTGACTGATTACTAGGCACACAGATCTCTTGCCGAGTTGCCAAAATTGGCCGATAATTACTGACTGAAAACCTGGAGAACTCTAGAGTCATCTCAGAAAAATCCTAACGTCTAGAGTCATATCTGAATGCCTGAATTCTAGCGTCATGTCCAACCTCTAGAGTCTGAATCTGATTCGAGCATCTTAACTAAAGTTCTGATCCTCAATTCTGAGCATATACAAAGTAATATGTTTATAATAACTGAAAATTGAATAGCAACAGCACTTACCTGTCGTCGGCGGGGCGTGAACATGACGGTTCGGGTGTTTCTGAAAAATTTCGGACTGTAAACTTTTCTGAAAACTTTTCTGAAAAATTACTTACTGGAAAAACTTATCTGACTGAAAACTTATCAGAGACGCAAAAACGTGCTCTGATACCAATTGTAACACCCCACCTTACTAGACAAATCAGAGTAGCGCATTTAATCGCAAAGTCTTTGAAAACTAAAACATTTTTACTTTGCGAAACTGATTTGGGGTGCTACCGTAAAAAAAAATCTTTACTTAACTTAGAAAACCGTTGTTTTAACTTATTAAAAATGTCCGGTTATTTAAAAACTATATTTTCTGAAAAGTTTATCAAAATATGATAAAACCGTCAAAATCATCAAAGCACTGTCAAAAGATCGTCAAAAGTAAGCGGAAGCGTAAATATTAGTTATACAGTCCAAAACACATATATATAAATGTCCTGAATATCCCGATCGGCTCCCGTCACGTCACACTCCCGGCCCGACCTGCTGACCTGAAAAATAAGATAAAACTGGGGCGTGAGCACTAGGCACTGTGCTCCGTGGAAACTCATACTAATGTAAAACATCGTAAATAATAACAATATCATGAACTAAGCATATATGTCTGAACTGATCTGATACCGGTCTGAACTCACGACCGAAGTCACGTACTCGCGACCGAAGTCACGTAACTGATAACTGATCTCGTGACCGAAGCCACGTAGTGACCGAAGTCACATCTGAACTGAACATCTGCCGGCGAACCGGACACCATGTGCACACTCTAGTGGGCAGACTAAGGCCACTAGAACCCAGAATGGACCGGCGGCCATTCCGAGCGGATACTGAAAATACATACCTCGAACATGGTAGAGCAATTATAAACAATGTAGTACTTAGTCTGAGTCCCCACCTGAACTGCTGAACTGATAGGTAGTGCTGATGCATGCTAAACTGAAAAATAATATAAACAATTACTATTGACTATGCTCAGACTATTTAACTTAACTGATTAATCTCGTTAAGATGCTCTATTTAACTTATTCTGATTTTTAAACTTATCCGGAAAAACCGGAACTGAATTAATCGGAACTGATTTGGACATGATTTTACTGAGCTGAAATAATTCTGGGAAAATTTACTGAAATGACTCAAAATACTAAACCGGGCTCAAAACAGGCTAAACCGGACAAAATGGAGCTGGACCGGTCCAGCCGGTCTGAACCGGTCTGGACCGGGTG